ATATATATATACATACGTACATACATACATACATACATATATATATATATATACATATATATATATATATAATAATAATATATATATATATATCTATATATATAATAATAATATATGTATAATAATATAATAATATATATATACAAATAAGCAGTCGCCTCCAATCCTCATACAACTGCTGTGGCAAAACGATGTACGCCGGTAGATTTCTCGTATACGCCAGATAATCACATACTCTCCCTTCCCTTCCGACATCCTATACATCCTATAGGATACATATATAGACCCACATTCTACACCAAATAATTTCACCAAAAGAACTTACTAATAAGTACTTACAAGTCGGTTTACGTATTTGTCCGCTCACAACCAATTGCGCCTTGGCGCAAGAAGCCAATCAGTCACAATCCGCACTCACCTGGTGCATGGACATGCACTTCCCCGGATTGTCCTTCAAGGGCGGGGGTACAAACCCTTCGCCCTGCACGCGCATGTATGTTTCTCGCAGCTTGGGCAGTGCGGGTCGAGGCTTGGTGTGCAACGCCTTCCCGGCTTTGGATTGATCGTCTCGTATGTATTTCGGTGGGGTTGTGAGGCCCGGGTTGGCGTATTGATAGGGGTCGGGATCGTTCCATATCTGCCCCAGAGTACAATTCAGAGCAAATAAGGACAGGACAAGACATCAATTCAGAGCAAAAAAAGACAGGACAAGACATCATGTTACAGATACGAGCCTTTTATAACGACAGCGTGATGGTCCAAAGGTAAGAACTGCTAGAGATAGCTCCGCCTTCGTAACCGAGCCACGCACACTACCCACCAAGAAACCCCCACAGCATACACACGTTGTCTCCATTGATCCATACACTTCTACGTAAAAGATAATAGCAGCGCAGCACATGCACACGGTTTCCATTTGCAAGACCTCACAACAGAGGCGCCATCAGTACCACGACAGCCAGTAATACATATCCTACTACCGGGATAACTATTGTCATATACTCATATCACTTGGTATCCAGGACAACGATACCAACTTTGGCATCCTAAAATACAGAACGACAATCAAAATGCACACTCTAAATAAATACACTCAGCGATAAATAGTAGGACAGCAAATTAAACCAGAATGACGTTCTCAACCTAGACATTCTCCGCTACACTGACGAAAATCAATATTAATTTCTATTCATCAATATATGCACTCATTCCCTTATTTATCCACTTCCACTCTTCACATGAAACTGGTACACCAAGAACTACTCTGTCCTCCGTCACAGTAGTTATCGCTAATTGTACTGATGGGCTGCACTAAGGTCATTCAGTGGCACCGTAAGCCTGCCGTCCACCACATGCTGCACTATACCGACAAACAGCGTACAACACCTTACAGCACACACTACCCTTTCAACACATTCAGCATTCACCAGGGACCACCTTGTACCACATACACAGGCGCGTCAAAGGTAAACGGGGCCCTACACACCAAGTCCTGGGCATTCTTCGGCGCCGTCACAGACTGCTGTGGCGGTGGTCTGTACTGAGACTCATCGAGTGTCACGGTGTCTCTTGCATCGACTACGCGCTGGTTCATAATGTCAAGTGTGATGATATTGGTGCGTTGCTTCTTCTTCAGCTCTAGCTTCGCCTCGTCTAGTTGGCTCTTGAGTGCTTCTCGAGCTTTTCGCTGCGCGGATAGGCGATGGTATGAGTGCCCATACAACATACAGACAAGGTGGGGCGTACATGGTCACACGCTATATCGTCCTCAGTATTGCAGCGAATAGGTCGTGTCGGTCCGCGTCACACGGGCAAAAAAATGCGCGGGACTGTGCACAATTGCACTTTATGTACATCTGTTAAAACCATGTGAACGTTTACAATTTTCATACACTAAAGACGTACGTGAACTGTTCACCACCCTATTGTGATTTACTATAGTGGGATGTATGTGTAAGTACATTAATAAGAAGGCGATACACGCGCACAGGAATTTATAACAATATACTCGCAGTATGTCCGCATGCTGATTTGGTTACAATCTTCCCGTCTTGGATTGAGCCCAGATGTATACATTGCGTACGTAATACCCTTGAGCTTATATAGAAACAATGACCCTGCAAACCTTTCCTGATGCTTTTTCTGGGATAAGAAAGGCTCGTGCTGTATGTATCTTCGTGAATGCTCGCGCATTTCACTTGGATAAAAAATATCGAATAAAAACACATCTGATCCATCAGCCGCACACTTGCATACTCGTACAGCCGTTCTGGTGCATAGCGATGGGTGGGAATATCATTGAACACAAAAGGGCAATACAATGTAATCGCTCATGCTCGACCTTGAGCGGAAACAAATGTGAAAAGTTGCAGAGGCGACCAACGTCAAAATCAAATAGATACATAACCGTTATCACCAGTACGGGTTCACCTTTCTTCATGTCGAGAATAGCAAATTTGCTTGATACAAATATATTCACTAAACAGCAGAAGACACAAGGAGTGTAGCTAAAGTGGAGCTAATTGGTTAAAATGGCGTTTAAATAGAACTAAACGAAATTAATTCTGATTGGACAATCGAATGCAATAGCAAAATTAACGTTCACTATGGAATGCCCACAGCATTGGTGTGCAGCGATGCGCACGCTGCGGAGCAGATGAACAGAAACAAGTACCAGGATTCAAAAACTAACACGCTCACGCACGCCTCAGTGGGGGGCAAGGTTACTTACTGTTTTGGGGTCGAGCCACCTGCTATCTAGCTCATAGTAGTCGTCCTGTGAGCGATAATCAATAGATACATACGCGTGTCAGAGTGAACCGTTGAGATTCATTGCGGACTGTCTGGTTGTCAGTATCTTGTCGCGATGAGCCGTCTATCGTATGTCGAAACCTATACAGTTTCACGCGCTATGTCACATCAGGGCCAAAATCATTCCCAACTCGTTACATATATTTAATTGTCAACAACATAAAATTACTCGTCGCATATACTTCGGCATCTAGTCATAAATACTTCAATGATCTTACCTACTCATACTCCAAGACACGTAACGAAATACAATATCACCCAAAACTAAATACAATATCACCCAAAACTAGATATAATATCACCCAAAACTAAATACAACATCGACCTATCACCATTTTAGATACCTCATCGTCAATGACTTTCGTACGCTTGGCCATCTGCCTGTCAAACACTAGCAATCTGCAAAGGGTCGCAGCATGATAAATTGTCAAGAGTTTCGGAATGATTGGATCTGCGCATAAACCTGGTCTGATTCCCGAGTCAGTGATGAACCCGTAATATGAGGGAAGAGCTCTTGGTGACGGAATGAGAAACTGAGGGTTGTGTTTATACCACCTTGCTGCTGATCATGGTGCCACGATAAAGATACACAGAGCTGCATAAAAGAGTGTGATATGAGATCCGCACAGATAAGCTGACCTGTGGCTAGTCTTGCAATGATAACAACTTTTACAGTCGGGATCATATACACTACAATTATGTCCATGCATTCAACCTAACGCCAAAATTACATGACTGGCATATCCGAATTGAGTGACCAAATACTTGCCTTTCCTTAAGCTCCATGGCTTTCATCAGTGCTACTATCTTTTCAGGATCCATTCCCTCCTCCTCTTGCTTTAACTTGAACAAGTTCTATACAAGCAAAACCAGGCATGCATATAGTTAGGCGGATGCTAATACCCCCACGAAATATGGTACTTAGGATCTAGATGAAGCGGTGATCACTATAGATGCTATCAGAATCACGTACTACATATCAGGACGTTGGGAAATCCACACACATGTATATTAATCTATCTTAAACTGTGCCAACTATAATATGAAAATCTAGTTTTCAACTAATTCGGCAACAGTGATGTGTATGCATATGCGCGTAACCACGGATACTGGATATATACATATTTTAGGCATTTTATCTCGAGGCAACTGATTAACTAAAGCTTTATTCGCATTGTACGCAAATCCAAGTACGGATGCTTCCAACAATATGCACACGTATGCGCACTCAAAGATCGCGGTAAGGTTGCCTGTATATAAGGTGAAAGAAAATCAACAGCACAAACACCTTAAACCCGCTCATCATGAGAAGACATACGTATACACACACGTATAAATATATTACAATCAGCATCGTATAAATTTTTGAAAAATATCTCACCGAAATATAAACCCACACACCCACAACCACAGCCACAGACAGCCACACCCCTATATATATATATATATATATATATATATATTGAATCTGCACTACCAGTACCGAACTGAGTGTTCTACGCACGGGGGTGTTGTCGATCCAACTATTCCACAGCATCACACAGACCACACACCAACATTTCATTGATAAGCAATACAACTCAGTCTGGTCTAAAATACACAAATGTTGCAGATGTTGTATTCTGCCAAGGAGATGTCATCGACTGGTGAAACGCCCGTTTGTACCGTCCTTCAACGTTACCATAACTACTGAAATGGCCCGAGTGAAATATACAACTACGTGTGTTCACCTGCATCACTGAGCCACAGTGTTCGTTGGTTTGATAAATATCCGACAAGAAACTCCTACCACTATCAAAATTAGACACCGTGATAATCCATAGTACCACCTTGTGCCTCTCAACTTGTGAATGAAGTGGCGTATTGCTTTAAAAATTTAACGCTAAAAGTTAGACGGCGATATTTCATCGTACCCTTGTAGCCTCTCAACTTGTGATTGAAGTGGCGTATTCATATGAGATTTCAACGCTAAGAATTAGACGGTGATATCTTGGCTAGCAAAGTACTTCTCATTGCACTTTTTGAGCTCAGCCCTTTACTACTACTGAACGTCAGCGTACTACATGATACCAAAAACCGCAATCTAACCCACGAGTTACAATCAGCACTAGGAAACCTAACGCTCATACGCAAAAGTCTGGCTTGTATATATAAACATCGCACATTCATATCTGCATCTGTAGCTGCTGAACAAAAAAAAACCAGACCTGCACATATCGCTGTTACATATTAAACTCACAGTAAGTGACATACATACAATGCGCAAGGCAGCCAAGATACATACTGGGTTATAGTGCAACAGTCAAAATACTTCAGCAAGTAATGTGTATGCAGGCTTACCTTCTTGCGAGCGGTCCTTGTGATTCCCAACTGCTCTGCATCAGCATCCGTCGCCATAGCATTATCCAAGATTTTCACCTGATCTTCACCACATGATAGGCAGACCCCCACGCCCTCCTGCGCACACACAATGTTACCACAGGCCAAACAATTACCAACCAGTGCGTGTTTTCCTGTCATGCAATCACATTTGATCCGTCCTTTTTCGAGTTGGCCGTGTAACAGCGAAGACAGTTGCTCCAGGGACTGTAGTCCTGCAGTCTTCCTGCTCGTTTTGCCAGCCCTTTTATTCAGGTAAGGTTTAGTATAAGTACTGCTATGTGAACTGCTCTCTGCAGGTACAATGCCCTTCTTCTTCTTGCCACGTTTCCCAATCACCTCTTGACCCTCCTGTCGCGTGTCGGCTTTATTACTGCTACTTTCTCCGAACATATCCTCAACATAACTATTGACAAAATCCGTATGCGCACGATCTGCCGGGTCGAGCAAGCTATTTAAATACTGTCTTGCCTCCCTCGCACTGTCCAACTGGATGGTGAGTTGGATGATATCAGATGCGTCAAAATCTAGCAACTCCCCAAGTTTCAAACTCCATTTGCTCTTCTGCTCCAGCAATTGCTTTTGCTGAGTTGCTGCTTTGTTTGCAACCATTTTTAAAACGGCTGTGAAGCGGTATCGAAGCAGAACTGCACTTAAGTGCACTGCTAGCGGTAGCTGATGAAGAATACTTATATACACATCGACGAGATCATATGTCGTCCAAGATGTATTTACGCAAATTTTAAAGTACAAAAACCTTACTTTCGAAATTTTATCAGGGTTGTACAACCAGACAATTTCACAGCCTCCTGAAATAATCACATCTACATTTAGAGACTCGATATATTTTTTTAAATATGTTTGTAGATACACTTGCGTACAGTGGTAATATTTGCACACATATATATGCTAGTTGCTGCTTCCCAATGTACAGGCAATACTGAACCAATTCATCTCTCGTTTCTGCCAGACTATTAGTACTTTGCTTATCTTTCCATACATAGCCTATATATATATATATATATATATATTATATATATTATATATATATATATATATATATATATATATATATATATATATAATATATATATATATATATATACTATATATATACTATTAACTATAACACACACTAACTAACACTAATAATATTAATATAATATATATA